TACACAGAGAGAATGATGTAACAAACAACTAGAACTAGTGGTCAGACAACTAAGGAATTACCTATTTGTTAGCCACCATCTACTTTTTCCTGGACCTAGCTAAAATGATCTGCCCCACTTACAAAGTCATGACATGAACAATTTCTAAAGGTGCACGGAAATGTTATTATATGTCAGTAGGCAATTCTCTGCATGCATATAATTGCTTACCCTTATCACAAAAAGCAAAAATGGGGATCTTTCACATAGCATCGCTAGGTCCAAATTGAAGCCAAAAACTGTTTTGTCAACCTGCAGTGTAATGGTGTAGAAGGAAGAAGAGGAAAAGGAAGTGCAACCACCGTTGAAGGAAACCAAAACCAATAAATTGATAAAATAAATACCCTTTTATTTGCACTAATAGTCAGGTAATTTTACATCTACCAGGACACAAATCCAAGTTAAATTAAAAAATTGTTTTGTTTCCTAAAACAAAAGGAAATCCATCATAAACATTATCATGAATACTTCCATTTGAACCTAAACATAATCTTCTTAGGTATGGGACTAGAGTCCTTGACTGTAGCTTCCAAGTTTTGTCATGGCTTTGAAGCCAATCAACAGATAGATAAAAAGGGTGGATTTTTCACATGGTATTGCGAAGTCAGAATTAAAGTCCAAAACTGTTCTGTCAACGTGCAGTTTGATTCTGTAGAGGGGAGAAGAGGAAAGAGAGAGCAACCACCTTTATAGGAAACCAACCACTAAATTGCTAAAATAACTCCCCTTTTGTTTGCGCAAATAGTTAGGTAATCCTAAATCTAGTATTACACATAACCAAGTTAAATTACAGATGGTGTTGTTTCCTGAAATAAACAAAAATACATCATAAAAACTATCATGAATACTTCCATTTGGACCAAAACCTATTCTTGTTAGAAATGGTATCATGATCTTTGACTGTAGCTTTCCAATTTGATCATAGGTTTGGGGCTGATCTACAGATGCAGGATAAGTACCATCAATCAATTCCTCTTGCAATTGAGACACATGGAAAACTTCAGATTCTAAAAAGAAGTCTTGGTGAAGAAAACCAAGGGATTCTCGGACAAAAAAAGTTAAAGCATAAAAAAAATTAAACCAAAAAAGGAAACTTTTGCCTCTAATGAATGGTGTTAAACAAGGGCAACCCAAGAAGGCAATGTGTTGCATTTGAAATTTTTTTTCTAATGAACAATAATGACATGAGTTTAAAAAACAGAATATATAATAAACAAAGTCTATATTCAAATTATATTCAAGCAATAAAAAGTAGAAAGCTACTTAAGGAGACTGAGAGATCAAGTATTGCAATTTAGACTGATTTGGCATTCCTTGCCCATGTCCACTACTTTTAACTCCTTGATATTTTCATACAACTTCACTATTAGGAAGGATTTGGAATGCAGTAATACATGACTGGCACAGAAGAATGGTTTTCAATTGATTCAAATACTATACCTATGCAATAGCAATAGCGGCAGCAAAAAGAAAAAAGTAGTCAAAGATTTCACATAATACTCTCAATCAAAAATTCAACCTGATTTATTTCATATCCTTGCCTATTTTTTTCTTCAATCATTTCCTCAATAAATTTTGTGGCAGTATAATACGAACCTTGCAAACAGATAAACATGAAATGAGAGTTAGAAACAGCAATTTCTGGAATTGTATGACCACCACTTGAATGAAGGCAATTTTGGCTTTAAGGTAGTTTTAGCTCAATAAATGTGTAAACTAGGGTAGTATTCAACTCACAGATGTCCATCCGTATGTAACTAATTACAAAAAAGACTAGGTGAAGCCAATTAGAAACCATTCAATCTTTGTTTTAATTAGTTTCATTGACTCTGATCAGGAAAACCATGAGTTCAATACCATGTATAAAATAAACAACTCTAAAATGTAAATCTTCCAACAGGCATTATACATAGGTTGATTTTGAACACAGCTTCAAAAGCTATGAAGGAAGGACATTTCCCTTGCCTGTCTTTCTCATGGGTGTTTGGGAGTCAGAAATTCCAAAGGTACAAAAACTTCTAATTTGTCCTCGTTTCTTATCATTCTCACTATGGCTTAAGATCAAAATCCATATTATAAAGACCTAATATATTCATGGCCTACAATACACACACACACACACACACACACAGAGTGTTATCAATGGCGTATGGCGGGCAAGCCAAAAAACTGCCATGGTGGCATGGCGTACAGCGTGGCGGACAAATGGTGGCCACACGGCGGACAAGAAAAAAAAAATCAAAATTTACAATAAAAAATTGCAAAAACAACTAAAAACTAATATTAAATAAAAATAAACATCATTACATCATTTCATAACAACCAAATAAGTGTTACAAGCATTCAAAAAGAAGAACAAAAAATACATATTAGAGTCAAACTCTCAATAATAATCCCAAACACACAAAATATTCTTAAACTACATAAATCCTCATTCATCCTCATCCTCCGTGTAATTGTCCTCCTCAGCGTTGTATTTCTCATCGTCATTTATAAAATAATAGGTTAAGATATTTATAAAATAAATAAATAAATATTATTACCCCAAGCAACAGAGCAAGCAGAGCAGAGCAAATCTCGCTCGTGTCTCAACTCTGCATTGACAACGCTCGACTCAATAGCAAAGCATGCCTCGGCCCTTAACAGAGCCCCTCTCACTCATCCCTCATCTCTAGGCCGACAGCCCCCAAACGACAGCACCGACAGCCTCACCTCACTCAACCGACTACAGAGGAAGCCTCGCCTCACCTCACTCGACCGACAGCACCGACTCTCGCTCGACAGGTCTAGGCTCTCTTCTCTCAACTCTTGCCTAGCTGTCGTCGTCGTCATCTCTTGTCACTCGTTGTGTCCACTTCAACCCTTTGGCGCAAAATGGTTTTCGCACTCAACAGTAGTAGTTGCAAGAGACCCATTGACACCCCAATCCAAGCCCTAGCTCATATCGCAACCCATGTCGAAGACCTTAACTAGCCAAGGTCCATGGCCCATCAGCAAACCACAGCCAAGTCATCTGCTTACAGCCATGGCAGCGCCCATACCATGATGCCACAACCATGGCGGACGCCATGGTGCTACTATACACAAAACGCTAAAGGCAGATGGCTCTGTGGCGGGATTTTGAAATTCTGCCACTGCCATCCACCATGGCCGCCATTTGATTACACTCTGTGTGTGTGTGTGTGTGTGTGTGTGTGTGTGTGTGTGTGTGTGTGTGTGTGTGTATAAGTAATCTAGTTATTCTTTAAATTTATTGGAACAAACTGAAATAACAGTTATATTATTAGTGTTATTACATTTATAATAAAATTTACAAATATATGCAGAAAGCTGTATTCTTTGTTTTTCACTCCTCGTTTCATTTTGAGATGGTAAAATATTCATGCATTACATACTCAAATAGTATTAGCCACTGATATTGTCATATATCATAAAAACATTGTAGCAAATGCATTTGTATGTGTTTTACTAAGAATTGTTTGTTATAATAGCCAGCTTAATGGTTATAAGCAAAAACTGTTTTTTTCTGACACCACTAATTGTTAAATATACCTTTCACTCTACTGATTAAATACCACTGAAATTACCAGAGGTGACATCTGTAATTGAGAATAAGGAACCCTTCTCGGAAGAGGAAGCCATCGAATGAGTTGGACAAACGCCAAAATCGGGATAGATGTAGATAAACAATACAAACCCCCACCCCGAGAAACATAAGGATGCTTTCTCTGCATGGTGCTCAAGAGCCAATACCTCATGGAATTGGGCAATGTTAATGCATGCTGATAATGCACTAAGAACATACCAAATTTGAAAATAGAATTGATAGTAGATATGCTTTATTAGCCAGATGCATTTAGGAATATTTTAAAATTTAAGTATGTGAAACCCACAATTTAGGGTAATATATGTATATATACATATCATATATTTCTACAAAAGCACATTATGATATGAATATATATCATGGAAAAATATAATGCAAATATAACATACCTTCCTAAAATTCACAATATATGAGTATAACTGCTACATGTAACCAATAAAACATAGAGGAAGCCCCAAGCCACAACGCTCCCTACTTTGTTAAAGATGAAGATGTTTAGAGAGTGCATGCAACCTTGCTCTGCTTTGTAAAGAGCTTTTTATGTCCTATATATTTCAATCAACGTTGCTCACGTGCTTACATCATGTCAATGCGACTGTTTACACTCTCAAAATGGTAAAGGATACATATCAATTTTTTTGGCATTTATAGCAGTTTAGCACTGAAAAACTCTTGAATTTAGTTCCAACTTCAAATTATGAATTATTGGATGCACTTGATATAACCACTTTATGACTAAATCTAGAGGTGTTGGTGATTTTATGTCCAATCCTCCCAAATACCTGTATTTAGTGAATACAAAATAGTGATCGAAGGATTGCAATTAAACTATGAGTCCCTCAATCCTGAAACTAGGGTATAACCTGGGCAACCCAGATGGCATAGAACATATCCAAACCTGGTGCAACTTGACTTAGAAATCCTTAACCCCAATGGGTCAAGTTGGTTTAGGTTTGAGCAACCTTAAGTGAAATTGGGTTAGGTTTGGACCTTTACAAACCTTCCAAGTTACAGGGTTATCTAAAACCACAAGTTTGGCCAACAGCTACTTTAATGCTTTTGGTTTTAGAACCATAAAGAACTATAGTGAACACCCATCCTATATGTACATTTATATATATATATATATATACACACACACACACACACAAAAAAAAAAAGACATAATCACAATATAAAATCATTTAATTATAATAACCAAATAACAATCAGCTAAACTAATCAATTTTGTAACATGGCGAGTTGACGGAAAGGATGACAGGAAACAGATTGATTTCGATGAAAAATACAGGGGATATAGATAATGAAGCAAACCTATCTTGAATATGCTTTAGAACATAAAATGGTACTGTTTCTACACAGATATCCCAGTCCTCAAATTTGACCTCCCCCTGTTTCTTGAAATTTGCCCTCTACCTGGCGAGCTACTATGACCCTTAAGCTTACCATGCATTCCTATTTTCCCAGAAACTTGAACGGGCACCGTTTTCCTAGTTTTCAGATTGGTTGCAACAGAAGTTCTCAAGGACCTGTTTGGGTTTTTCATCGCTCTTCCGATATAACCACCAGCATCATCTTTGTCCTCCTCATCATCATAGTCCTCATCACTTCCATACTCAACCTCTGAACCTGACAAGTCATTCAACTCCCCAAATTGTTCATCTTCGCTTGTATCAACTTGCATCTCTTCACCTTCTTTTGTAGAATCAATGGTTGGTTTCTGTTTCTGAGCTTTTGGTTTTTTATCTTCCTTCACTGTATTCATAAGATGAATATACTTATACCTCATATCCATAAACGGGTGCTTCTCAATCAACAAATTTCTCTTATAACCATCCCGTAAAACAACTGTATGCGTTCCAATTTTATTTGAGAGATAAAATATGCCAGGATGATGAAGCAATGCCCTCTTAAACCTTGCCCGAAGTCCCCAGTACTCTCCGAGACAAAGCACATTTTCTCTATCAGTCTTCTTCCCAATAAGAAGAGTAAGAATCTCGTGCATCACAGCAACTGCCCACTTGTCAGCCTCGTCACTCTTGGCTGGAAAATGTAATGCATTTTCATAGGGAGAAACGTAAGGCAACTTCTGCCACTCGTCAACCCACCTTTTGAACTTCTTATCCACCTCAAAACCTCTAGAATACTGCAATGGAAATGAAATAGCCATACCCTTCTTGTAACCCACCTCACCACTCATTGCCCGCTTCTGAATCGCTGAAACTGCCAACTCACTGCTCCAGCAAACCAATTCCAGCAACAAGTCAGAATCACTGCCACGGGTGATCTTAAAATAATCTGGAAACTCAGGAACCACGCTTTGAATATAATCCTGAGGCAAACCTAAATCCCATCTGAGGCGATCTATGATACGAATTGGGATTTTGTGAATTCCAGCTAACATAAGCAGCTTCAGAAGTCGGTCTGCTACTCTCTGTTTGTAATCGTCACTCTGGTAAATCAACTGCTCGTCTGCGTCGAGGCCGAGGATTTCTTGAGTCAGTTTAACATGTGGATGTATTTTGACTCCACCAGGGAAGAATTCTTCGAAGACGGAGGGGTATTTGCGAACAAATTCGATGGGGCGGAGAGGGAGGTCGAGAGATTCTCTGTTCTGGACGATGATGGAGAGTGGAAGCGACTTGGACGGCTCGGACTTGATGAGGTTCTTGAGATTGAGCATCGGTTGAAGGTTGCTCTCTTTCTCGACGGCGTGATCGAGGCCTCGGTCTCGGACCCATTTGATGGCTGTCAGGTCCACCAGTGTTCGGCGGCTCTCCTGGTGGCCGATGCGGCGGCGGAACGAACGGAAAATGGATTGCATAAGGGTTTTCTGGTGTGAGGGTTTTTGCAGGGTTTTACATTTTGCCGCTGTACTACGTCCAGGAATGCACAGGCATGGGAAACAGCAAGATATAAAGGTTAAAAGTGTCATTTTAACGCAAACGAAGACACAAGATGACATTTGAAAAATGAATTTAGCCATGTTAATCAAATGAACAATAAAATAGAAACTTAACATGAGTAGCTCATAAATATAATAGTTAATTGAGAATTTTTATAAATTTATGTTATGGTAAGTTGCTCTATTTCTTTTTATTCATATTTAATTTATTTTATTTTTAAAGATAAAAACTAAAGTCATTTTCAAAATTCATAGATTTTCTTTTTCTAGCTTCAAACAAAATTCTATCAAATTTCTTTTAAAAAAATTTGTTACAAAAAATGGGTTTTCCAAATTGATTTTCAAAATTACATTTTATATAGGTCTTATATATCTTAATAAATTTGGGGAACAACTCCTAAGATTAGCCAAAGCAAATATAGGTAAAGGGGGCTTAGGCTTGGCTAGCCAAGTTTGGTTAGCCAAACTCCTCTTACCATTAAACAAACATGCCTTGAAATGTTTGAAATTATATTTAAAATAAAGTGGGATTAAAAATGGAATTGATAAATAAAGGTTTTAAGTAGAGTTTTTTATATACCTAAGATTAAACAAAACAAGTTCTTAAGAATTATTGTTGAATAATTAAAAGAGGATTAAAAATGGGGTTGAAAAATAAAGGTTTTAAATCAACTTTTTTTTTATAAACCCTAGATTAAACATAACAAGATTTTAAGAATTATTAAATAATTAAAATTTTAAATATTTCAAGTCAACTATTTAATCTTAGCAAATTATTGTAATGAATGATTGTTGAATTATTTCGATCAAACTCATAAAAAAATTGTATATTTTATAGAAAAAGCATTTATCCCTTTTCAGGTTTACTTAGGCTCCATTCAGTTGCATAATAAGGTAAGATAAAATAAATTTATCTTGTCTTATTATGCGTTTAGATACCTTGTAACAAAACATGAGAAATATATGTATCAGTGAGAGTAGGATAATTTATCAAATGAGAGCAACCGAATAAATTTTATTAATGTGATAAATTTTGGCTTTTAAATATTAATGCCTTGGGTTGTGCCAGAGGCAGGCGCTCCACCTGAGTTGAAGCAAAGGGAGGAAGACGGTGGAGGAGAGGGCAATTTGCGCCCACCGCCGTTTGCAAGAGAAGACGATTGTTTGCACCCACCATCGGTATCGCCCGATTGAAGCAGAGCTTCTATAACTCGTTCATAGTGTCTGGCCTAATTTGAAGATCCAGCTCCCCTTCTGGCCTAAACGTGATCTATTATGGGCTGGGTTCTTGGTCTAGCCGACCTAGGGCAGCATGTCAGAGGGAGGTGGCGGGGCGACGAGAGGTAGGCGGTGAAGGGATGAGATGGTTTGGGTTTTTTTATTATTATTATTAACCCATAAGGGCTTTGCGGCGAAGGGATGAGATGAGGTTCGACTATGCTGGGTTTTTTTTTTTTAACCTATAAAAGTTTTTTGTTAAATTCAAAATTTTATCCCATTTGTTTTCTATGGAACTAAACGTGTGATACCACTATTTAATCTGAATAAATTTATCCATTTTTATCATATCCTATTATATCTCATCCTCCCATCCGAACGGTTCCTTAAATAACACTCAACTCTATTCTTATTATGTAAAAATATTTTTTCAATTTGACTAAATGTTGACTCACAGTTGTTTAACGGTTTTATTAAAAAAAAAGATGAGTATAACTCCATTTCATTTACTTAGCTTACCTATCTAAATAAAAATTAAATTATTATTTATTTACTTATAAAATTAAAATTTTAAATTAAAATTTAAAAATTAAAAAATCTAACCTTTTGATAACATAATTTTACTATTTTAAATTTTTTATTTTTTTGATATTTTAATTTTATTTAACTTTTTTTAAGTTTAAATGATATTAGCCATTTTTTTACTTAAATAGTACTTAACTATTTTTATTTTAATATTTAGAATAAAAATAAAAATTAATTAATAATTTAAATTTAAAAAAATTAAATTATCAAAAGTTAATTTAAAAAAAATAAAAAATAAATAAATCAAATAATTTTTTAATTTTTAATTAGAACGGTAAATAAAACTTGAGAAATTAGGTTATTTTCACGTATTTTTGAACAAAATCATTAAATAAATGTTAATTAACAATTAATTAAAATGGTAGGAAAAAGTATTTTTTCATAATAAGAAGGGAGTCAAGTGTTATTTAAATAAAATTTGAGAAATTAGAGTATTTTTTAACCTTATGTTTTAAGAAATTGGAGTATGTTAGACATTGTGTTATTTGTTAGATTAATATTAGAATTATTTTCTAATATTAATTAAATAATTGTTAGTACCACTGAGCTACCATGTAACGACCCTAATTAATTTTATTTGAAAATTTATTTAATTAATTAATTCTGAAGGGGTTAGTTGCAGGAATTGTGAGATTTGGGGGTTTTAATTATTAAAACCAGGAGTATGGGCCCAATGTGGAAACACGGGTTATGCTAGGGACTCAATTAGAAGTCTGGCAGGGGTAAAATTGAAGAAAACAATAAATAGGAGGACTTGACTTTGACAGAGTAGAAAAGTTCAAATGAACAATGACCCGAACTTAAACTAACCATGCTGTGAAGATTGGGAGTGGTTGGGGGTAGATTCCTTTGCGTATTTGAGTTGCCTTAGACAGATGCACCAAACCCCCTCGTCAATTTCAAGAATTGAGAAAAACTTTGTGAAGATTTATAAGTTTTCTGGTCGACAGGATGCACAAATGAACAAGGGATTTTTGTTGCATTTTTGGATCAATCAACTAGTTTCAATCCGATTAAAGGGCTTATTGAGGCTTGCCTGATCTAGATTTGGGTTTTCCAGGCATCAATCAGTCCTTGTAAGGTATCAATCTATGTGTTTTTTTGGGTTTTGGAGTTTCGGGCCTATTACAGAGTCGGATACTAGTTTTCGGGTTAGGGAGTTGGGTAAGGACAACAGACCTAGATGGAACAGGGTTCGTGTAGGATTGGGCGGGCCTTGTTTAGGCCTATATCTGACTGATCTAGGCTGCGGCTTGTGGGTCAGCCCACTATACCCACTTGGGCTGAGTCAACTCGCAGGTTGACTTAGCCCACTGTGTAAATCAACCAGGTTGACTAGTGAGTCAACCCAAAGGTCAAAATAAGGGATATGTTATCTTGGGAGTAAGGCAAATCAAGAATAAGAGTTGTTTGGGGATAACATGAATTAAATAACTTAGAATTTAATTATTTAATATTAACTAGCATTTCGGTATAGGACAGTTTTGGTTCAAGGGCGGATCATCGGTTTTTAGACTGGTTCTTCAGAATGTTAGACTGGTTCTCGATAGGTAAGTCTGGTTTACATCTCAAGATAGTTTGAGTTATCAGAAACCGGCCGATTCAATGGAGAGATTGGATCGGTTTAGTGCATAAGTCTATAAATTAGAGTTTTTGGGCCAATTTATGACTAGTTCAAGGGTTTTTCTAGCCGGTTCAAATCGGTTCCTAGGGTTTTTGGGGTGTCTGAATTTGATTTTGAGGGTTTTGTGGGTGGTTCAAGGGTTTTGGAGGTCAGTTCACTATGGTTCAAGGGTTTTAGATGCTGGTTCTCTATTAGTCAAGGGTTGTTGAGTAAAATTTATGAATATTCGTGAGTTGCGCAGGTTTCAATAATGGGTAGTGAAGCTCGGATGCTTGTCAAGGTGTCGAGATGAGATTTGAGTCAGTTTGGGGCTGCTAAGCCTGTTTCTTGTGCTGGTTTTGGTGTTGGTAATAATTTTATGTGGTTTTGGTTACAGATACACTAGCAGAGTGCGCCCAGACTAGTGAGTCAAGTGATAGTGACTTGGGATTTTTTTTTGCATTGACTTCAGTATTACGAGTAATAATACCCTTCCTATGTATGTGTTTTTCAACCATGTTTTTTGGCATGATAATTATGTGATTTCATAAACTATATTTAGGTATATGTTACAACCAGGATATGTGTTATGTGGTTTATGAACTGTTAATAAGGTATGTTGATATGGAGATACTGGTTTTTGAAATGTGAACTATATATGTATATTTATTCCTATTTTTGACTTATATGTGAGGATGGTATCGTGTGATATAATTTAGAGACACCAAGTGGCTCAACTAGAGGACGACGATGTCGTAGTGTCTAGTGCGAGGGCCCTACGTCCGATGTAAGACGGCAGGGGTCGCGGACATGTTGCGCACTGTCATGTTGTGTTTGGGATGGCATACTTAATCGACAAACAGCAGGGTGTAGCATGTGGGGAGTGCCTTGGGTCTGGTGATGTGATGTGATTGGGATACCAAGGGCTCAACCGGTGAACGGTAGCTGCTGTAGCATGCGAGGGGAGTACCCTGGCCCAGTGTTATTAATGTGATGAGTGATTATGTTGATACCTCACATATGTGTTTTGGTGTGGTTACTGTTCACTCAATATGTAAATGTATGGTTTTGAATTTGTGACATGATACTATCATGCCCCGAACCCCAGGCCCGTGACCGGCACTGGGATCCACCAACCTCAGTAAGCCTCAACAAAACCAGTCGAACTCCAAAGATACAAAACATACACAAAGTGCAACAATATAACATCCAAAAATCACCTGAGATCCTATCTGAGAGTACAAGGAAGTTACTCTAGAATACAATCAGGTAAAGTACAAAAAAGAAATGCTCGTACATCCATCAAGTCCGCTGTCGTCGACTCTGACGCTGGCACGCTAATTGAGGCAGGTATGGTCAAACGAATCTGAAATGTTTAAAAACTATGAGTCGCGAAACTCAATGAGTACGGATGATACTTAATCTATGCATATCAGGATATATATATCACGCCACAAGTCCAAAAACTATACACATACAGTGATTAGTAAAACATAACAATATACACTCAAGAATACCAGCAACCAAATATCAAATCACAGCACCTCACGTCACGGCACTGAACCCAGGACTACTCACCACTAAACGCTACGGGTCACCATACTCCAGCCGAATTCCTGACATCGCAATCACCTCGTATGACCTAGGCCAACTCACCACTGGACATTACAGATTACCGCACTCTAGCCGAGTTCCTACCGTCCCAAAATCCCATCACTGGACTCAGGCCACTCACTACTAGACAATACGAATCACCGTACTCTAGCCGAGTTCCTGCTGTCCCTCAAATCACATCCCATCACATCCGCGGCCTCTACCGCCTCACATTACACATCACATCCGCAGCCTCTGCCGCTCGCGGCCCCCGCCACATCACATCACACAACAATTCTCGCATATAAGCCAAAAGTAATATACATACGCTTATACAATTTACATCTCAAAACTAGTATCACATACTAACATAACTCATTGACAGTTCACAAAACACATAACACATCCCGAGTATAACATATAATCATATATAGTTTCCAAAACCACATAATTATCGTGTAAAAGAATCACAGTATGAAAACACAAGTATAGAAAGGGTATCATCACTCACAGTATAAGGGTTGAACAAAAAGGAACTCCTAATCACCCTTACTCAACTCGTTGACCAAGATGCGCCTCCACCGGTGTATCTGTAACCAAATACAATAAACCATCACCAACGTCAAAATTGGCACAAGAAATAGGTTCGGTAGCCTCAAACTGGACTCAAATCCCAAACCGGCCCCCTGGCATGTATCTCGAGGCAACACGACCTATCACCGAAACCTACATGACTCACTAATACTGAGCAAATTTACTTAACCACCCTCAACACTACAGAACCAGCCTCCACAAATCTCGAACTGCAGCGAACCGTCTCCAAAACCCTCAAACCAGCTTGACCCGGTTCAAAATTACCTCCGACTCAACTCGAATGACCACGAAACCCTCAAAATCATAATCAAAATGCCCAAAAGCCCTAAGAACTAGTTTGAACCGATCAAAAATGGCTTAAACCAGCTCTGAACTGGGCCAAAAACCCTAACCCTAAGCATTGGTACGCAAACCGAGACCGGTTCACCTTGAACCGATCACCCAAAAATACCGAACTTCATGGTTAGTTAGGTTTCATCACGTTGAACCAGGAACCGGTCCAAACTTCCCAAGAACCGGCCTGAAAATCAGTGAACCAATCACCCAAACGACAACATACTACACCAGCCGATTCACCTCGAACCGGGCACCCAAAATTTCTCAAACCCACTTGGTTTGATAGATCTTTCCTCCCTGGTCAAAAATCCAAATTCTAAGTCAAATTGGCCACTGAACTGGCCGGTTCGGTCAAACCCTTTTTTTTTTTTGCAACCGGCTCGACTTAGGCTGCGGCTCACGGCTCGGGCCCCTCTCTCTCTTTTTTTTTTTTTTGCGTGTGGGCTGGCCCGCGGGGCAACCCACCTGGGACTGGCCCCAAACTGGCCCAGTCCAGCCAAACTGCTTTGGCCCGGGTTGGACCCAACCAGGGCCCAAACTGCCCGAACCCGGATTCTCATTCGGGTTCGTCCCTATCGCCCGGAAGGCAAACTTGGAGCAGCCGTCCGGGTCTAAACAGACCCAGAACCAGAGAAACAGAAAGAAAATGTCATGGATGAACTCACCTCGCTGATCCGACCATCCACAGCCACCGACCAACCCCGGCGACCCTCCCCGCGGCAAATAATCAAAACGAATCACTCCGAACGGCCTTCAAAATGCAGCATTTCCCCTTCAATTTCTGGCAGACCGGACGACCCAGAACTCTCAAGAAACTCCTCCCCCTCTGCTCTGAACACTGAAATTGCTTGAGGGATTCGGCCAAGCCTTCAAAAACGCACGTAAGGGTGCATAAAGCTGGTCCAAATCATTGCAAACCGCTGACTGAATTAGAGGAAATCCATCATTCATTCACTGTTCAACTCAATTTTCTGAAAATTACATACTTAGTCCCTCATCTTGTTGCTTCCGCAGATGGGTCCCTGAGAAATTTTGATTCAGCCCCTGAAACCTTTAATCCTTGCACTTTGGTCCTCAGCCTTAAATAACTTTGAAAAACTGGGTAATTACAGATACATATCCCAACATGCATAAATTAAGTATTATCTGTACCAATTGAGTTTCACGACTCACATTTTATAAACATTCCAGATTGGGTTAGTAGTTCTTGCCTCGCTGGTGTGCTAGAGTTTGAGTATGAATCAACTGATGGTTTGATGTACGGGCATTCTTTTTTGTATATCTATTATTTTGTACTCCACAATATCTCTTTTTATACTTTCAAATAGGTCCTGGTGGTTGTATACTAGATGTTGTGTGTTAGTTTACATTTATTTGATAAAACGAGCATTTTTGTATAATTTGGTGTGAGTAAGCTTATTGGGATCGGTGAACTCTAGTGTTGGTAATGGGCCCCAGGTCAGGTTGTGACATACCAGATCAGGAAATAGTATAAAAAATACATGTTTATAAACATATCCTTTTAACTTATAGATTTTGAGTGTAAATAAATTAAATAATTTTAAAAATAGAAAACCCTTTCCTAATCCATCTTAGGGGGTGTTTGCAAATACTTTTGAAAAATCAGAATTAAGTAATTAAAGTAAAAGTGATTAGAAGTGATTTTAATAAGAAGTAGTTTGTGTTTGGAAAGAAAAGAAAAAAAGCTATCGAGCCACGTGAAACAGTATTTGGAATGTAATTTTTATAAAATAATGGTGGAGATATTTTTTTTAACTAAAATGACTATTTTGAACTCAGGTATATATAATTTTTTATATTTTATTTTCTTATTTTGGTCTTTAAAAAATTATTCTTCTTCCCCCGCACGCAGTGGCCGTCTGCAATAGCCACCATTGTTGCGTGCGGCCATTGCAACGGCCGCATGCAGCGGTGGTGGCCATTGCGGATGGTTGTTGTGTGCGGCGATCTCACGCACTGGCCGTTGCATGCGACAATCGCTGCCACCGCATATAGCAGCAATGGCTGGAGCCGTTAAGTGCGGCCCCCACATAGCAGTGGTGGCTTGAGCTGCTGCTTTCAGTGATCTCACGCAACAGCCGCTGTGTGCGGCGATCGCCGCTGCCGCATGCAGTGGCAGTCTTCGGAGTGGTAGCAAAGGTGCTATCGGCCATGGGTGGGGAAGGAAGGAGAGAGGAGAGGGAAGGAGAGAAGTGAAAGAGTAAGGATAATTCAGAGATTTAGAAAAATTAATGAGGGTAAAGTGGTCAGAACACATGTCAAACAACTTCTATTTATTTACCAAATTGTCATCAAAAACTAAAAGCATGCTCCCATCAACTTCTTCAGATTAGTTTTTCTTTTAAATTTTTTTAGCACTTTCTAGAAGCAAATGCAAACACTCCCTTAATCCAATATCTCCTCAAATTAATTTTTAATTTTATTATTATTTCAATTATTTACACACAGAAAATCAAATTTTTTTTACTCAATTTCAAACACATCTCTGATTTTTGAAATTGAATAATTAAAATTACTAAGGCTATTACTAAAATAACACCACTGGTTTGAGAAATAAAGCCGCGTGCACGTGCTGCCTGGAGCGAGATCTGGAGCGGCGAATCATTAGCTCGGGCAACTTAAAATCGGAGATCGAGGGATATCACCCGAGTTTTTTATCGGATGAGAGAGATTCGCCGGTTGGAAAGAGTTGAATCTTTGGTCACTGATCGAGAGCAGCCAGCAGGGGGGCCGTAGACCTTGCTCCCAAACCACTGTTGAGAGCCATGGGGAACGTCACTTCCCGGCGGGCCCCCAGCCGCCCGAGAACGGAGATGGCCGCGGAAATCCCTTGGCGGTTTCCTCGCCCTCGTCTTCCACCGCACCCGACGCTTTCTCCCCGATGATCCGCCTCCCCTCGTCCTCTCGCCTGACCAGCTCCGCCACTGCGCCGACGCTCTCAAAGCTTTCAAAGACAAGCTACAGATGCCTCGGGAGATCCGCAAGGAGTTCTCCATTTTAGAGGTTCGCCCAAAGTCCATCTCAATTTCACATATTTTCATGCTTTTTTTTTTTCTATGTAGATGGTACTAGGTGCGCATTATGTATTGACAACAGATGACGGATATCGAGGAACGAACGATCTTTGCTCATTCCTGAAAACTACTCTCTCTCTCTCTCCCCATCTACTTATCTCTCTCGCGGTCAGAGCAACGACTTTGAAAGGTAAAGCGAGGTCAACGGAGAGGGAAAAAAAAAAGAAAAAAGAAAAACGATCTAATTTTGTGGCCCCAAATGTCGTTTAGGTTTGGAACCCTAGTAGCGGGATGGATTGAGTTTAAGCGCGTACCTTGTGAATTAAGGGCGGACGATTCTGGATTTTAAGAAGTGCTTTCTTGTTTAGTCTTTATGCTGAAGAACGATTACAGAGAGTTGGACACTTACTGCTTCCAGCCGAACTTGTTGAGAAATAGTCTGTGGTAGGTAGACATAGCATTTGACTAATGTCCTAGAGGTAGTAATATTGAACATCAGAGAGGATTACCAAACTTATTCTCTCCAGTTTTATTGTCCTTTTAAAAAGAAAAGAACAGGTGGAAAGCCTTGAGAAATAAGAACACAAGCTCCAAGTGAAATGTATTTCCTGGCATAGTAATCTTCTTGGGGCGGCATGTCATGTGTGATACTTATTAGACACGGGTTGACATGTGCTAGATTTGTTCCAAACATTGTAATTAACATTTTATCTCCCACAATGCGTTATGACATCACACAGTGTATGCGTTTGTTATAAAGTACTTCCAAGTAACCATGGGGTGAAATATTATTGGCTTGTGACAGTTTATTACATGCTAAGCATACTAATCAAACAGTGGCTTTATCTTGCTTTAAGATCTGGAAAAAGGTTTTTGCAGGTACTTCTGTTTGTCATCTCTTTTATTTATTTATTTTTTTTAACCTCTTGGAATGCTGCCACACTCTGGGTGATCAATTTGATCCACAATCCAAATTATTTTATAACTAATCAAACGTGGTCTATTATCATGTTATATGTCTTGGTCAAGTGACCTAAAGTTAGCCATATGCAACTTAATATTTGGACCTGACCTAATAATATAGGGAAAAGGTAAGAAGCATTGGACTCAAGTCATTCTGACAGGAAACTTTGAAAAACTTTCCAATTAAACATGGTGGGAATATCACTATGTGTGTTTATGTGTGTAATTTGTTCATCATCTTTATATATATAACAATCATAAGTGATATAAAAATGAACAATAAGAACATTAATATCACATTTATTCATTTGTCAGTAAACACTAATTAACATTATGTAAATTTTAATATTGTTGCAAATTTATATATTATGATTGAATGCCAATTAATATCATTTAAATATTCCTGTAAATTTATAACAATTGTACCTTTCTCTGAATTCCCTATGTTCTGTTTCTGATTACAGTACTAACTCCTTTTATGATGGATTGTAGGGCAATAGTATGAGACCTTCAGAAATGGAAAGTAGATGCTTAGTGGCTCTTGACAGTGAAAATTCTAGCAAAAACCGCTCTGCAGATGTCCTGCCCTGTATGTAATCAATTGGTTTCTTTCATTTGTGAAGCTAAAACCATGTTGCTTACGTGATGGGATACTGGGATATAATTAATTTATAATTTATATTATCAGTTGACAGTAACAGGGTTATCCTGAACCCATGCAAGGATTATAGACCTTCAGCAAGGGGTTATATAAACGCAAGCTTCATTCAGGTATGGACTTCTCTCTGTGTCTCTCTTATATGCTCTCTAGGATACACAATTAGTTGAGATTATTTGCATTCCTGGCTTGACGGTTGGAATTGCTCCTTTCAACCATAGACTTCTTCCTCTGAAAGCATTTCTCGATTCATAGCTACACAAGGTCCATTACCTCATACCTTTGAAGACTTTTGGGAGATGATAATCCAGTGTCGTTGTCCCCTTATTGTGATGCTTACTCGGTTGATCGACAATGACAAGGTATTAAACTGTGTGAGTTCAAGTTAACACTTGTAATTTTCAGTCTGCATGTTATTGTTGTATAAATTGTTATTTTGTCATTCTCATTTTAAGGAGAAAAAATGCATTTTAAGAATCTAAGTTGCATTTGGAAGTTGAGCAATATGTTAGCTAATGGTTAGTGTGTCTTGATTGGCAGTTGTAAACAGTTTATTATGTCATATATATATTATTTGTTTGATTTTAGAGGGTTAATATGTATCCATGATGGTTTTATTTTTGTATTTCTTTGAGAAGTTCAAGAAATGTTACCTTTAATCACATTTAGCTTGAAGAAATTGTGTTATATTGGTGCACAGGAGAAGCAAAGAGATGAAGGAAGCGAAAAGAGAGACTAGTCTGGACGGAGGAAGTTGGTTTCTATCATATTTAAGTTTACCAGGTAGACAAGGGGAGGCAAAGGTTGCATGAAGGAATTACTTAAGTGAACTATCATATTAGCTAGAGAATAGCCCGGTTTAGCAGGTAGGCAAAGGTTACAGGAGAAAATTTTACTTCATTGAGCTCCTATATTAGCTAGAGATTAGCCTGCTTTAGCTGGTATATAGAAGGGGGGTGGAGGTTGCAGGAGGGAGATTTCACTTTGGTGAGCTTCCATATTAGGTTGGCTGAGAAATAACATAAAAAAAGCTAAAATGCTATTGGGGAAAGATTTATTATGGGTTCAAAGAAGAAAAACCTAATTGTAGCTGACTATCATTTCAAATAGGACATTGATGGGATAAGGTCCTTCATTACTCATACATAAGAGCAGCCAGTCTAGTCTAGCTCTATTCGATTTTAGCAACTGGGTATGTTTGTGTTCGTCCAAGTTGGATAGGAATAGTTCAATAACTAGGTGTTTTAACCAAGCCAAGCTGGAGCGAGCAAACATTGGGCTTGGCTTTGTTCGTTGGACCCTGCTTGCAAGCATGTGATAACCACCGCTAGATAAAAATCTTCTGTCATTGCAGATCTTTCCTTTCCTGCAACAGGGTTTGAATTTTTTTGGATTGTATGTTGTATAAAACAAACAAGACGGCAAGATGGAGAACTCAGCCCAACAATTTTTTGGTTATGGAAAACAAATCCTTGTGTTGGTAAACTACTTATTGATTTCTTTAAATAGTTCAGGTTTTGCCCTGCCCCCCCCACAGAAGGTGGAGTGAATTGCGCTAAATTTTCTTTGCCTATGATATTGTTTTACTCAATGAAATGAGAGTAGGGCAGCCCAAAACACTAGGCTCTCGGTGCAATGGAGTTTAGGTTTTGTTAGATATATTTAGCCTTCCTCTTGAACGTGGAAAAGTTGTTTCTAAGAGGTGAACCTGTGACACCAAGGTTGCAGTGTATCAGCCCTTACCTTTGGCCTGAAGTCCACCCGGATGAAACACAGTAGGGGAGAGTGCCCTGTGCCCAATCAGAAGTTTTGAGAAAAAACGTTAGACTCAAGAAACTTTGAGATAACGACAACTAAAATAGAATATATTTGATTCAACTTTTTAGTAAAAGGCAAGGTGCAAATAAGGGAATAATTAATACTGGAGCAGGTAATGCCTAGAGTTGACCAAGTTATGATGCAGGATGGGTTAGGGTATTAAAGAATATTGGTCTTGGGAAGTGAAACAGGATGTATGGAATCTATTCTGGTGCTGTTCTTATACTATGGAGTAAGTCAGGAATCGTAAGTTCCCTAGGAATCTGCCATGGCTTCTTTAGGAATTGCTGCCTAAGGTAAAGCTTTATAATGGAATATGATCCAAAGCTTTTGAAGCTTCATGAAATTCCCAAATTCTCCATTCTTTTCCACTCTAGTGAATAGAAAAATCTCTTAGGGTCCACATATGCCTATAAACTGCTTTGCCTACATGACATGACTTGACATGACTGAAGCCTGGGGCCAAACCCAAAACCCTTGACTGTAAATTCCATTAGCAGAACACCCCTTTGACACCCTAGCCCCAAAATGACAAAAATAAGTATAGCAACTTGCAAAGCTAAAAAACGTGTAAAATTAGAACTCATATGAACCCTAAACTGGATCATCGAAGACCCTATTTTTTTCAAATTTGAATTCCAAAATTGTTCTGTTTCTTCTCTTCCTGCATATGGTTTTTCCAATAGATATACAACAATGAATCTATACTAATTTCATGTGCAAAAAACTATATATATGTAGGTCATTTCTCCATACTTCCTCTTAGATTTCATTTTTTTTTTTATTTTCTCTTTTGGTTGTTAGAAACTCTTATTAATTTTGTTTCTTCTTTTTTTTTTCTTTTGCTTTTGAATTGTGGAATCTTATGTTCAAATTGATTTGCAGAAAGTGAAACGTGGAGACTACTTTCAGGCTGAGGATGGCCCAAGGGAATTTGGTAACATCTGTATTGTTACTAAATGGATAAGAACAACTGACACTGCATTGGTGTTGCGTAATTTGGAGGTTAAATATAAAGAGGTATACTAACAATTTTGATTTGTGGGTTCATATATTTGAAATCAGTTAAAACAGCTCTTGCCTACTAAATTTAAAAGTCAATATCACTTACTATAGACTAGGTGAGAAAATATGCTTCTTTCTTGACATGAAAAATATTTCCATCTGTTACAATCTAAAAAGCATGGATACAAACATGGTGTCCAACATGACACAGGCACATGGACATGGACACAGCTAAAATATTTAATTTTTTAATATTTATAATTGGAAAATTTTTAAATGACCAAAAATACTAGAAATTTCCAATAAGCAAACTGATTCATTTATGCTTAAACATCAGTCAACATGAACCAAAACTGCTGTAGATTCATAGCAGTTGATTCATTATTTTATACCTAATTGTATATTATATGTGTTTATTTTTACATTATTCTTCCAAAAGGATAATGTGAGGTGAACTTTGTTTAATATAGAAACACGTGTTTATGTGGGAAGATACATGTTATCATGTACAGGAACGTGCACGTGCAGAATGAAAAGATAAAATAAAAATTAAACACAGCATCTGGTGTGTCCGATGTGTTTTGGAGTGTCTATAAATTAAAAAGGAAATTTCTGTTTGACATCTTTATGACGTTAAGACCTGCTTTACATTAAGGTTTATGACAGCAAAATGAGATTAATAAAAGAAAGAATGTTATGATTGGGCATATGGCAAAAATAGGAGAGGTAGAGCCTAAATGACTGAATTAATGAGATGATAAAGCTAGTACCTGTAGAGAATAAAAATAAGAGAAAATATGTTGAGATGATTGGGCATGGATGACTTAAATATATTAAGTGGTAAGTTATTCTGTTAAGAAAATTGACACTATCTCAACATTTTTCCCGCTAGCAAATGGACACTCTGAACATTTAGAACATTGAGGCTTATTTTAGAAAACAAGATACCAACTGGGTTGAGATGGTAAAGAAAGATTTATGTTACTATGGTGGCTAATGGAAAATATGATTCATGATAGAGCTGAATGGAGATATAGGGTTTTTGTAGCTTATCCCATATGTCTTAAAAGGGATTTCATGAGTTGACTTGGGTGCATTGCAATATATTTTCGGTGAATGCACTGGTTCATCATGGTCACTGTAGGCTAGGATGAAACCAACAGTGCCTATGACACACAAAGCACGGTGGTGCAGTTGTTGCACTTCTATGATGGGACTGCAAATGAATGTTCTTGCCTGCAATCAGAAGCTTGTGGGAGTATTGAGAGAGGTGTACCTTCTCTCTCTAGCATTCCAATGCTTTAATTGCGGAGATCTGAGAGAGCCACCTTTGGATGCCAATAACTTGCTCATGGTTAAAAGCCAATAACCCTGTTTCCCCTTGAAGCAGCATTCGACTTCTAAATTATCACCATTATGGTGGGAGGAACTGCTTAGCAGATCACAATGCTTTCAACTTCTAGGTTATCACCATTATGATGGGCGGAACTGCTTAGCAGATCACAATGCCTTTGATTAATTTGTAGTCCTATTGGTGAGCTACCCCAAGCATATGTTCTCAATTTGTGGAAAATTGAACTCCTCGAGCATTTTAACTCTTGGAAAGTGGTAAAGTTTCTCACAGAATTAATTATCTTGAATTTCTGCAATACCTTCCCCCACCTTCAAATGGTTGCTTTTGGCCATGCTGTTTGTCTTGAACTTAGGATAGGACAGCCCATGATGCTTTAAGCAGCAGTCATGATTACTTTGAGACATCTAGGGATGGATCCAAAAATTTTCTTTAGTGGGAACAACTTGTGTGACCAATAATATTAGGTGAATTTTTTTTTCTGTATTTTCTTATTTAAAGGTAACATAAAAAAAAAATTCTTTATTGCAATAATCCTAAACTAATCTAATTATTTATATTATTATTAAGTGTAGAATTAAAATGAAATCCAAATTTGTTTTATAAAATTAATTTAATATTTAACAATAAGGAATCAAAATAAATGTTTAGGGAACATGACGGGCATATGTGTATTCTCAATAACTTTATGATTGTGTGTTCTCTCTTTAACGACTGAAAAGGAATTTTGTATGCACTTTGAGGTATATTTTGAACTCATCGAACACTTTTGCATAATGATGGCTATCATTTATAAAGAGATATTATTCATATGTTACTAAAAAGGCTCATAATTTATTTAAGATGCAAAATATTCACGTTAATGTGTCTGAATGAATTTCGTATTAGAGAATTCATACAAGAGTATATAATTTCTTATGAATTAATATTGCTAATACTTGATTAAAATTAGATGAAAAATCAGACTATAGATCATGTATATGTAATAAACGACAAAAATAAAATTCATTTGGTGCCTCATTAAATTGTAGACATATATCAAATTAGAACATTTGCTCATATGGCATGTTCTTTTAACAAATAGGTGGAGATTCTTTTTTCTAAAATTTAATAGTGTCAAAGCACCAAAAAGGGAAAAAAAAATACTGAGGACAATTTTGCAAATAAAGAATACTATTCTCAAGGGGGTGAGGGATCAGGGGGATTATGTGTCCCTACCGCCCTCATGCCAAATCCATCACTGGAGACATCAATGGTTCGGGCTGGAAATAGAAAAACTTCTTGTTTGCCTTGTCGTAATTGTCCTTTGCATTGTGATTAGTGCCCCTTTTAACTTCTTTAAGTGTTTTGTGCTTGCACATGATTGAAAATTTGAATCATTCTATAGGCTTGTGAGGACAGGATTGCTTCTGATGAGGAAAATTGAGGATGGTGGAGAATTGGCAGCAGAACCATATATTTGAAAATGAATGTTGTCATTTTTCCCAAATAAGATTTGAGCGGTATTGATTTATTTACTAATTGACAATATCCTATCTCCTAAATGTTTAAGCTGTTAGACTCGGGGTTGGACACAATTCAATAGTCTTATGAGTGGGATTGCAGCTCAAAGCATTGGGAGAGAGGTTTCTTTAAGTCTTGTTAAATTAATGAAAGAAAAGGAGAAAGAGGGTAAAGAAGGCAAAGAATAGGTTAGGTTCCTTAAAATCATACCCGATTGTAATCCTATATGAGGTGTATGATAAATTTCAGGGCTTAATATAAATTCGTAAAAAGTTCTTAATATCATGATTAGTAAAATTAGTAGAAGTATCTATAGATTGCTGGAATTTAAAACCTGTGTGTATAATTAAAAAGAAGAAGAAGAAGAAGAAATCTCCCTTTATTTTATTTAGCATGTGGATGAAATATAACTTCCACCTCATTCGCTATCATGGTTGCATGTTTACTGTCAAATGGTTTGAATCTTCGTACCTAATTCGTTGGCTTAGTTCACCAATTGTAATGAAAAGCGGACTTCTGAGGAGCTGAGCCGAAGGACATTTGCAGATTTTAAACGGAAGTTCATAGGACATGCCAAACCTTTTAAAACACTAGTTAGGTCCATAATGTAATAGTGGATACTAATAATGCTATTATTTTGTATGATTTATTTAATGTAATGTATCCAGTTTTGCTGATAAATGATGCAACATAGACCCCAAAATGGGGAAAAAGAATGCTGTTTGTGAAATGAGGTGTAATACTTTTGGATTTGGTCTGTTCTTTTTACTCACTTTGCATGCGAAAATGAGCTACTTCTAGTACGATATTTATGCACAATGGATTTCTTAAATAGTAGAGCAAACTTGAGCTTATCTTTGTAACATCTACTTTTAACATCAACAATCTCATTAGCACAGGCATGGACATAGGGATACTCTAATTTCAAAAAATGTAGGAACACCACACAGTGAGACATAGCAAATATCTATAAAAATTATATAAGATATAAATATAAAAATAATGCATTAGTTAAACAAAAAAAAACACATATAAAAACTCTTAAAGTGAAAAAAAAAAAAATGTTCAACCAACTCAAATCATCTAAACTTGTGTCTCCTTCAATTTTAGGAACTAGGTAAATCATGCATCTTCGAAACTTATAAGATAGTAATTTGATATTATTGCAACTTGGCTTTTGCTTAAAAGGTTATACTTGATCCTTGATATGTCTAATATGTCCAATTTCTGCACGTTTCATCTAGGTGTCTTATATGTGTGCAATGGATCAAAAATCGAATAAAAATGGGGCATGGGTTTATGTGTGTTTAACGAAGTGTCCAAGCATGTCCGACATGGACATAGTGAGGGATGCTTTGTGTTTGTTGGCATTGATCTCTGGTTTATATTATGTATTAATTTTACTCCATGCCTGTCTTTCAAAATGTAATATTTTCTTTATACAAACTGGGCAAAGGTCAAAGGATTGGATAACTACTACTCTTCACTTTTTATCTTTGTTGCAGTCAGAGGGGCCACCACTGTCTGTTTTGCATATTCAATATCCTGAATGGCCCGATCATGGGGTTCCCAATGACACTATTGCTGTCCGTGAAATATTGAAAAGGACTTATAGTCCACCACCCACTCTAGGACCAATAGTTGTGCACTGCAGGTTTGCTTGTGTTTATCACGAAAACTTTAACTGATTTTTCTGGAAGCAACTTGTCATAATCCTGAGACATATATCCTCTCATGCAGTGCAGGTATTGGGAGAACTGGTACTTATTGCACAATTCATAATACAATCCAGAGAGTCCTAGTTGGGGATTTGTCTTCTTTGGACCTTGTTAATACCATATCCTTGTTTAGGGCTCAGCGAAGAGGAATGGTTCAGACACGGGTACATTTCCTTCTTGCGGTTGTTTCATGTTTCCAACTTTTAGTTCTTTCATTTGGTCGAATGGTTCTAACCTTATTGCTAACAATTTTAACAGCCTGAGAAGCACTAAATTCTTTAACCTTGGTAACAATCCAGAAGAGTAAGAATGGATGATTTATCATCAAGCATCCTTTTAAAATTTCCTGCTAGCATTCAATTACTAAATTTAAAAACCTATATACCAAGTAAAAATATAATATTTCCTGATGTTAGTAACAACATCTCAAATTATTTCATATTTTAAACAATAACAACTTAAGATATTGGATAGCAATTCTCCTCTTTATTGATATTGTTTCAACTTATAACTACCAGTATATTGGGATCCCAATTTGTAGGGGAACAGGAGAATAAATGTAAATGAAGACTTTTGTTCTTCTTTAAACAATCATAAAGAAATGTTGTTTATTGTAAATAAGCTATATTTATTTATTTTCTTTACTGTGCAGTAAAGAACCATGAATTCTTCAGAATCTTCAGATTACATTTTAATTAGGTCTATGATAACGAGAACTCTGATATGGATTAATCTTCAGAAAGTAATAGAACAAATTTCTTTATATTTTATGTTCTTCTCTCCCCTCTAATCAAGGTATTGCAGGCAGCAGGTAATCATATCAATGAAAGGAAAAGGTAATGTAGAGACATAAAATCTAGTTATTAGTCCATTTTTAGATTAATAACAATTAACCATTTCAATCTTGCTATGTTTAGATAGGTAGCATCGTAAACAAACAACGAAAAGGTTACTGAAGCAAGAAATAACCAAATAACTGACCCTATTTGATAGGGTTTTCTTCTAGATAAATTGTGGGGATGGGAATTGGAAACATTTATATTTGATACCTTTACAGGTTATATTCTTTGTGGGCTAAATCAAATGCATGTGTTGATAATACCAAATAAAGAAGAGTTAGTACGTGTCTAGTATAGCAATAGTCACCGCCATCAAGTAGGGGCCACAAAGATGTAGAACTTGAAAGATATTTCCACTTTAAAAGGAGTTTCTAATTCTTGTAAAAAATTTCGAGTAAGGATTATATTCCAATAATTGTTTTAAATGAGAACGATACTTTCCTTGAGTATTATAGGCAATGTCAATGTTCAAGAGGGATTAATGTTTGACAATGATATTCAAATCCCAACAAATAGGTTTCATGGAGTTGTACAAATTCTCTGGATTACCCCAGTTTCCTGATATGCCCTGATGAAATGGATTAATTCACCCTGATATATCGAGAAAATTTGGCATGGGTTGCCAGTTTAATGCACCTGGGAAGTGGCAGGCCCATTCTGTAATCATGTAACAAGATGCAGTGAACGAACAAGTAGGTTCTGAAGCAATTAATTTACTTGTATATTTTTTTCCCCTATTTCTTGCTGACTACATGGTATCTCTACTCACTTTTCTTTAGGAACAATATCATTTTCTGCTATAAATGCTATCATTGATGAACTTGAAGACCTCGTGTCCGAGTCCCACAGAAAAGAGAGAGATGTAGATCTCTACATAGAGTTTATGGTGATGGCATGCTAAACAGGTTGGATGGGTTACTTTGCTTTACAACTAAAACCGCTGTGTAGAGATTTTCTTTCCTTTTTTTCCCCCCTTCCATTCATGAGATCTTTGCCATACTAGGATGTATTACTGGTCTGTCTTTGTTTTGCAGCAATACTGGCGCTGTGGGTTAGTCAAAGCCATGGCTGTAAACGAAGTAAATTCGAGTCACATTTCTCAACAGTCCTGCGATATTGATGAATTGTAATGTTCAAGGCCATATTCCAAAGCAGCAACAGTTGATCTGCTATTATGCTTAATCCATTTGTTCGCTTGCTTTTGATTATGATCTTGCATCTGCTTGGAGGGCAGAATGACAACTGCTCTCTCCTTCTTGTTTCTCACTCAACTGTATGAAAAGTTGATCAGTAGGAGCCAAATTCCAATTCAACTTAAATTGAATGTGAGAACTTTAACTGCAAGATGCCAATGGTTATTTTCTTTGATCTGCCTCTAGTATTTTATGTGTACTATAACAAAAGTATCAAATCCACGTCTAGGATTATAAATGGGGTTGGATTTAGATCAAATTTGACAAATTTGAATTTGAATACTTATTTCTATATTTAAATTTAATTTAAAATTTTATAAGATCTGAATTTATTAAGTCATATCCGTAGAATAATTTAAAATTGGAAAAGAAATAATACTTATTAGTATTTTAAATTTTTAACTTTATTTTATCAATTATGTTGTTCTTAATTTTGATTTTTTTTAATATAGTTCTTATGAATTGGAATGTACTAATATTGTATAGAAAGATTGTTAATTTAATTTTAAAATATATTATGAAAATTTGGATTGGGAGATTGGATTATGTAATTTTATATTTAATTTATTTATTTAAAATTATGAATATTATAATTTATTTTATTTAATATTTTAATCAAATTTAATTTTTTTAAAATATAAATTAAATTGGATCATATTAGAATTTAAATTCAACTCACTGATTTGAAATTATTTGGTACCCTGTAGTGTCATGCCATGGATGTGATTCTCCTATCTCCTCCTTTAGATAGATGCAATCCTTGGGGGAAATGTTCAGATTTTGCTTTCGGTTTTTGAATTTGATTTTGTTTTCAAAAATAGAAATGAAAATCTTGAGAAATTGGCAATTTCTTAATGTTGTGATAATTTTTGGGCAGTTCATAAATTATTAAAGCAAGTCTTCTTTTCTTGAAAGGGGGCCTGTTTTCTGAAAATACTTTCAGAACTTTTTTTTTGAAACACTATTGTTTTTCATATTGTGATCGTACTCGGGCACTTTTTTGATGGTTATGAAAGTCTCTTGTTTTTTTTTTTTTTTAAAAAGAAGGGCCTGTTTGGTGAAAAAGTTTCAGAATTGATTTTGAACATGTCAAAGGGTGATTTTTTGTTTTTGTAAACAAAAAAACAATTTCTGAAAATAAATCCAAAGAGGTGGAATGGAATTAAAGCTAAACAGAACGGGTCACACGTATTGCTCTTATACTACATGGTACTATATGCATGGTACATCTGCAAAGGTCACACATCTTTTTGTGCAAATTATTAAATAGACGTTTTAATTGATATAAAATCTACTTGGTTGGCCAAAAAATTTGATTTTTAGTGCTTTTATATCAAAGTTTTTGCAGTTTTTTTGTTTCTAAATCTATAAAAAATTGGGATTTAGACTGTTTATGGTTCAAGTTTTTCAAGGATAAAAATACTGTTAAAAAATTAAAAGCAAATTTTTCATATTTGTGCAAGGCTTCTGACCTATTAAATTAAAACTTATAAAATTTCAACTTTTTTTAAAAACCACTTTATATTTTAATTAGGTAAATTTAATTTTGTTTGCCCGAAAATTTGCAGTGTAATTTTCTGGTTTTTGGATTTTCTTGGAAAGAGATTCCACCTTGATTACGACTGCTAAGAAAATGGCAGCAGCCAACTGGAATATCCATTTAGAATGGGCCAGGGTGCCATTCTCTGGCTAAAAGATCCCACGATTCGGATTTCAAGGCCCAGCCCAATTGTTTGTCTCTTCACTTTCTTTATGTTTATATTTTACCTCCAGTGCTCCACGAAGCAACGCAACCTTCGCGCGACGTGGGCGAGAGAGCAAACAGCGCATTGTTTGCTCTCTCTCTCTCTCTCTGACTGTTCATCATCCTTAACTCCAGCTCCGAACCTCTCATTTCTCTCTGCTAAAACTAAACCTCGCCATTCCCTGCAACCCCTGCTCTCCGTCATCAATCGACGCTACTACTCGTTGCCTTTTCCTTCCCGGTAAATTCGATCTCTATCTCGATTTTGATCCCAAAAAAACTCTAATTTAATTATATTTTGACTGCTCTACTTTCTAGTTCATATAGATGATTTTTGATATATAATATGTGTGTGTGTTAAATTTAAGCTTCGCTGGATTATTTATGTTGAAGTGCGCGTGCATTTGTGGATTGTTTGAGTTTAACCAGTTTTAAATATGGTTTTTGCCATTTACGGCCTGCCAAACCCAAACCAGGTGATTGTATATGTGTTTTTTTGTTCATTATTTTGATTATCTTGGTGACGTTAACAAAAAGTTTTCTGTATGGTTAATCCAGTTAAGTGGTTTAGAAGGAAACATACTCGTCCTCTTATTTGATTGATATATTTATTCTCGTACTCGGTTCTGAGTTTAATTTTAACCTCGTTCTCTTTCTCATATTCTATTTGATAATACTATATTTATATGGCAACAATATTTTTATTTAAACATAATTCATTTTTTTATTAAAAATTCTTCAAAGATCTTTAAAAACAATTATAATAATAAAAAATACAACAAAAATGATAATACAATTGAAAATAATATTTAAAAAATATTTTATTAAATTAAAAACATAAAATGAGATTAAACATTAACACCTTTTTTTTGATAATATTGATAATTGTATCTGGTCAGGTAATTTTACGGGTGAAAACAGCAATCTTTACTTTTTGGTGCCTAAATAGTAAATAAAATGCACAAATGGAAGAAAAAGAACCTCATCCAAACTTTGCCTAGCCATCGTTGTTTCTTGATAAAGGGTGAGAGGGAAAGGGGACATGATACTCCACAGCACCTGAGTTGACCCTTCGTGCAGCTTTTGCAGACACCAGTGGTTTTAGCATTTCCGGTTTATGTATTTCTTCTCATCAACTTTATGAGCTGAAATTTAAGATATAATAAATACATTAAAAACAAAAATGGACAAGAGAATGACCACTTGCATGTAATATGTACGAATCTGTCCACTGAAAGTGAGAGTGAAAGTGAAAAATTTTTATATTTTTGGAGGGACCCACCGCCCATTCAAAGTGAACATTATAATTTTTTATTTTCCTTGTAAAAAAATTATATATTTCAGAAATTCTGACACCTTTAAATGTTGTAGAAGAATAATTTGAAATTACCCATTGTCGATTCTTAGAGTCAGCACCATACCCACTTCTAAAAGCACTTTTAATGCTATTATGATTTTTTTTATATTAATATTATAATTTTTATTGTTTATCAAATT